GATTAGTATTATAGGGCACAGGGTTGTTTTTAAATAAATGAGATAATATGAAATAATAAATGAAATTTTTTCTGAACAAAATTAAAGGTTACAGTAAACTATTTTAGTTACAATTTTGTTAATATTGTAGTTAGCTATTTATATCTTTTTTTTTTAACTTCAGTACACTTTTAAGATTTAGACAATTATTTCTTTTTAAATCACAAAAATTCCAAAGGTATAGAATACAGTTCCAAAATTCCAAACTTTCCAAGCTTCAAAATCAGAAAGTCAAACTCACAAACTTCAACAATTTTCTCAAAATTCAAACAGTAAAAAATTGTACTAAAATTTAAATTCCCAAAGTTCCAATATTTTCTAGTTCCAAAGAACAGAAATTTTTAAATTCCCAAATCCTACAACTCCAAAGATTCAAGGTTCCAATTTTTTAAATTGCAGAGACCCAAGTTCCAAATCTCCACCCAAGAACCTACTCTACCGACGCCATTTTAAAAACTTTTTCCCGCCGAGCACAAATAAGATGGCGCAGAAAATCTCCGCGTTCACCTCCGACATAAATGAGAAGAAAAAATAAAAACGGCAAGGTCTGAGAACGGTTAATGAAAGGTTTTGCTTACTCGAGTAGTGATCCTCCTCGGATATGTCGGCTGGCTCCGGGGTCGAAATGTTTTCCTGCAACAAGATGCAAAGGTGTGGTTAGAGTGTGTCGCCACTTGTCACCCAGTCGAATGGTTTTCTCGCGCGAGAAGTGTTGTCGAGGTGCAAAGGGCTTTGAAACTCTCACAAAGGGTTCTCGCGGCTACACTCGTTGCAATAAATTGTAACCGTGCGTTGATTTTGACATTATTATGAAACTTCTTAGAATTATTCGTTGCAAGTTATGAATTAACGACCGTTGCGAAGGTCGGTGATTGATACACAGAATTAACAGTGAGCAACATTTTCTGGAAAATCATTTGAAATATTTATGATTTTCAAGAGGTACAGGTTATACAAATATTTGTGTCCACAATGTTCAGGATGTATGTTTATTTATGTACGTTGATTAATTTTTATATGCTGGTTTATATTGGATGCTGTTTTTAGTTTATTGCTGTTGTCCTAGGTGCAATATTTTAAATTGGCAATATTGAAATGATTTTTTAAAGTAAAGTCAAGTAACATATAAAAGTACAACGTATAATTATATTTAATTATTTATTATAAAATAAATAAAATCAACCTTCAAATTGTGGTATAATTATATAAATTAATTTTGTACGCTAAAATTGAAATTTTTTATTACTCTTACACTTGTGATAAACAAAGTATAGTAAATAACTTTAACAGAATTCCTTTTCAGCCCCAAAGTTTTAGAATTGAAAGTACCTTTGAGCTCAAAGTATTAACCTATTAATTTCAACTTGTGAAACAGATATTATATATGATATCCACGTCCAAATCCCCGCAAAATCTGCACGAGGTCAGTTTTCGCTGAAGATTATACATGCTTCGTGCATAGCGTCGGTCAATCGTTGATGCGTTTCATAGAATCGCGATTGCGCCACAAAGAAACACCGGCAGACTTTCCGTACACCCACGGAACGGCCGTGGACTTTATTGTCCCGGATCGAGAGGTGGTTTGTGGCGGTGGTTTGCGGTTCGTCTGTACGCAAATTACTTACGCCTCGTCTCGACGACGTGCCGTGAGAGACGGGTTTGAGGAACGTTGAGAATCTCTCGGATCGATAACGTAACGACGCGCGAAAACCGAAAGCTTCGACTGCCAGGCGTTGATATCACCGGCGACCGCCATTGTTCGGTCAACTTCCTTACTATATTTTTGCAAAATTTTATTTCTAAATTTACTGTACTATTATTGTGATAAAATTGTTATAGTAAGACTACATGTTAGGGTAGAATATAGTACAGTAGTGTTGCATACAGGGCGTCGAACTAAACCTATACAGAGCCTAACCTTAAAAATTCTGTATCAACCTCAACTGGTCCTAACCTCCTCAGAAACATACTCTGACTAAATGTAACCTGAAATTAATCCGAATATGTCAGAAGCTGACCTTATGATCTAAAATTGACTCATATGTACACATATGCAGTTTAAACCCGATGAAAAATCCCTTCAAGACTTGTCACTTAGAAAATAAACTGAGATAACTCAGAGCTTTTCCTCGACTCCTGCACAGGAGAACCATAATTCTCATGGAACACATTTCTCTGCATAGAGCAGATGTCAGAGGATCTGCATGAAAGCCGTTATCCGCCTAGGAGTCAATTGATTGAACGCTCACGAGCAACCTCCCATGATCATTTCGCGCGGCACCATTGAACCTTCCCTCGTCATCAGGGTTTCCCGTTGAAACGAACGGCCGTTTCGCAAGGCGTGTGCACAGACATACGGCTGATCCGACGACTCGAACGGGGTTTTCTCCTATCTGTGTCAGGTCTCGTGTTGCAACTGCAGAAGGTCGACCGGTATTACCGTGCGGAGAGCACGGCCAATTGATACCGGCCGCAACTTTGTCCGTTGTTGTAGGACGACCGACTTGCACGCGCATACTCTTGAGCAGCGCAAAAAGTGCCGCTGATGTAACCGAGAAATTCCGACCGTGCCATGCGTGGCCGGTATCGCAGCTGAACCGAATCCGAGGACGGAAGAATCTTGAAAATATAACGTTCCATTGGAAAATCGATCGGGGAATGCGTGGTCAGCCTTTCATACACAAGCATGGAACGCTTTTGGAATATGTGTTGAATGGCTAACAGAATGGCTACTCATAGTTTCATTTTTAACTTTGTGGCGATGTGGTCGTCTGAGGATTTTGGACAGGGCTAAGATAAAAGAGGATTCATGTGGAGTCACACTGTAACCTGTCACCTGATGTCCAGGGCCTCTTGGTCACCCAGTATACTTATACTTGAGTACCACAAGCTGGTAAATGCAATATTAATTATTTGTAATACAGAAGAAAAAGCATATTTCGCATAATCTGTATCAAGTCACATAGGATGAAAATCAACATCCATCGATCAAAGTCCTCCGAATCCCCGTAGACATATCCAGGCAATTGTAATTCAAGTTCATTAATCTTGAAACGCGAGGCAAACAATTAAAAGGGGTTGGTAAGCCGACGCGAGAGTCCCGCGAATTGATAGTCCAGATCGCAAGTAAAAGATGAATCCATTAACCCATTTACTCGATCTCCGGTGTGATCAATCTTTCCGCCCACTGGCATCGCGTCGATTGCACAATCTTCGGTTTGAAACGAAAGGAAAAAAGAAAGGCGACCATTGACACGAATACTTCCTTTGAATAGCGACAGGCCAATGATTTACTATTCTCGTTTCCCCGATCCTGGGAAATCGCCCAAGAAACGTTTCGTCGCTCGAACAACGCGCAGATACTTCTCGTTACAATACTCCCGCGCATTCCGCTCGTAATCGCGCCGATCGTCGGCCAGACAGGAAGCGTGTTTTAATAATCGATGGAATTTATTGGCCGACGACTCGTGTCTTCAGCGCCGAGCTGCAGCTTCGACTTCCAATGACGCTGCTTATTTTAAGAATCTTTTATTAAGAATTTAATATAAGAGCTCGGTTATTCCAGATTTTTTTCTTTGATTCATGTTTCAATGAAACATTCGAATATTTAGATCATTTTTGACAAGGGAGATAGAACCCTTGCGCATGAATATATGAATACACTTTTTAACCAGTCACGTATTTTGTTCAGTGTCTCATTCATGCCTATGAACGTTCCGGCCAAACCGTGAGAGATACGACTTTTTGTCACAGGATCAAACTTCTTGAGAATGGTCTAAAACCTCCAGAAAAATTGTCAAAAGTAGCTAATGGGGTCTGAGTGACTCCCAGCGAATGCGAGTCAAAATACTGTTTGACCCCACCCTGCCTATATACGTATCGGCTAAACCGTGCTAGATACGAATTTTTATCAGGGGATCAAACTTCCTTAGAATGGTCTAAAACCCCCAGAAAAATTGTCAAAAGTAGCTAATGGGGTCTGAGTGACTCCCAGCGAATGCGAGTCAAAATACTATATGACCCCACCCTGCCTATATACGTATTGGCTAAACTGTGCGAGATACGACTTTTTATCAGGGAATCAAACTTTCTTAGAATGGTCTAGAACCCCCAGAAAAATTGCCAAAAGTAGCTAATGGCGTTTGAGTAACCCCCAGCGAACGCGAGTCAAAATACTATATAACCCCACCCTGCCTATATACGTATCGTCTAAACTATGAGAGATAGGATTTTTTATCAGGGGATCAAACTTTCTCAAAATGGTCCAAAACCCCCAGATAAATTGTCAGAAGTGTAAATATGGATACACTTTTTAACCAGTCACATATTTTGTTCCGTACCTTTTATATGACCATATTTTTCGGGCTCTAAATTTCATGCGGTGTTTTTTTCAGTAAAGCGAAGTCGTGCACAATTGCGGGTCAGTGCCTAAAGCGACTCGTAAATCATGCGAGGTCCGGAGGTATCCTAAGGTCGCAGGTACTAATGAACAATGTCCTCTGGTTTTCTCTCTCGTGGTCTTCTCTCTTTCTCCCCGTCTCACCTACGCACGGGTCGCCCCACTTCCGGCGGATGTACCCTGATAAATGGGAATCTCGCCGAGTGCACGGCCAGTCGGCCATATACACCTACGACGGAACGTAGCATGCCGAATGAGAAACGAGCCTCGTCTTCGAGGCCGGCAACAAGAAGCAGGAGAAAAATGAGGGGACTCGCCCCGGTTCGTCGTTTAACGCCAGGAGGAAGCGTCCAGTTAACGATTTCATGATCCCCTTGCACTCCTGCTGAAATTCCAGGGCAACGACGGGCATCGGGGCAATCTTCCGCTGTCGAACGCTGAACCATCTTTTGTATTTGAGGATAATTTTCTTTTTTGTTTCAACATTCTTTTATGTAGAACTTTAGGTATCAAGTTTGAGATTGACTCGGTTATTTAGCTTTGCTCGATTTTTATTACTATCAACACAATGCTGTTCATTTGGCACTGATGTAGGTTATGGATGACTAGCAAGTTTGGTTGAATTAACTATTTATAGGAAGAAGAATGAAAGTTTTACGCTGAGAGATTAAAAGATAAAGTTGAAAGAGTAACCTATTATGTCATGTGTCGCATATGTGACTTAGCAAACTCCCATTCAGAAAGACCTGAACGAACCTATACTTTGTTCATTTTATAGTTGTATTATTCCATGGAATGTCATACACATTTTTTAAGATACACGTACATATTCGTTGTGCTTTATTTTTAATTCGAAGGCAACTCATAAAATCCATGTCTAATCGTATCAGTACGCAGCCTCCGTTGAAATTCCGTATAAAAACGTCATCCAACATCCCCGCATGCTCAAAATAGATCGGATGAGAGATACCTAGGATGGGAATGACATGCAACCTCCCCTGGCATTCGCACCCGTCCGCTAATGTAGTGGTTTCAACTCTCACCCCAAGATCTGTATTTGTCATGTACATTAACAGGATGACAAACCGTGTCACACTGTCCGGCCCGGCAACGTGCGCGAAGAGAAAATGGCGGAGAAAAAGAGGGACGCAAACCTGAAACTCGGTCCACGAAGAAAGAAATTGTCGAGAGAGCACGGTCAGGGAGATACGGTTGGAACATTTGTTTAGTTGAC